TTATTTCAAAGTCATGTCTTTCTGTGTAACTGGTTAACATGCCCTGACTCGGGAGGCCAGTTTGGTGGCCCCCTCTCCCCGCCCCTCCCATGGGGCCACATCCCGTCTTTCACCAGTGCCTGGCATGTGCCTTCTCTTGTTGGGCATCAGTGTGGCCCCCAGGTACCTCGGGTGCACGGAGCAGCCCCCTCAGAGAGGACAGGCGCTCCTCCAGGAAAGGTGAGGTGTCATCCCTTGCGGCAGTCACAAAACCGGTCACCTCCCCCCGGAGGGTCTGTTCTTAACTCATTTCTGCATCCCTCCTGCAGAGCCCACCAGAACGCACTCCCCCATCCTGCTGACTGACCCTCAGCCAGGGCCGTTGGGAGCAGTGCTGGAGAATTTTATAAAAATAGCCCCTCCAGCAGTCTCTCTGTGCCACTCGCCAGTCTCTCCAACACCTGGAACACTCCTGAAGCCCGGGCACCATCGGGGAAGGATATCCGGGTTCTTGATGAGCCAGTCGTCGGAAACAACGCCTGATACGAAGCGAGCCCCTTCTGCCTTTCCCTCACCCTTCGGTCTGTCCCAAGAGATGATATTCCTGTTTACTCCACCAGATAAATGAGCAAGGGTGTGGGGTGCTCGGAGCCCGAGGGTGCCATGTGGACGGCAGGGGTCAGCGGCCAGCAGCCGGCCTGGGTGCTGGCCATAACCGGAGGACATGAGCCTCCTCCTGAGGATCCAGGGGAAAGAGTCTGGAAGTAGGGAAAGAAAGCTGGGAGGAAGGTGGTCACACAAGCCCCAGAGGCAGGGAGGCCTGGAGGACAGGCAGCTTCCCCCTGAGAAGGTGGTGCCTTCGAGGGGAGATGGGCCCCCAGGGGCTCCTGAGGGGGCACGAGAACGCACACACGCAGGGGCCGGAGCCTCGGGGGCGGGGGCTTGGAGGGCATGGGAGACAGGAGGGATTCTGTAGAGCTAGTGTTTGCCCAAATCTATTCTCCAACATCCCCAAACTAATAACAGGAAACAAACCTTTGTTTGAATAAGGGCATTAACTTTCCAACTGGGCAGAAGTCCTTTAGCACCAAGCGTGGAAGTATAAACAGAATCTGGCACACCCCCTCTCCCCTCCCGCCCTATCGCCCAGCCCCCACGTGCCTGCATACGCACACATGCACACACACGTGCACGCACGCACATGCACACTCACGTACACGTGCACACGCATGCACACTCACATGCACACACGTACACACACAAACGGAAGCACACGCACATGTACACGTGCACACACATTCACACTTGTACACATGCACATGTACACACCTGCGCAGACATGTGCGCACGCACACATGCACACACATGCACGAACATATGAACACGTGCGTGTGCACCTACACATACACACATGCGTGTGTGCGCGCATTTACATGTACATGCACGCGCGCACACGCACAAACACGTACACACGTGTGCATGCACACACACACAGGAGGACCAGAGAGAGTCCAGGAGTCAGGAGCAGCAGAAAGGCGCCATCACCAAACTGCACCCAATGCCCACCTTGCCCCAGGAGTCCCTTGTCCCTCCGCACCCACGTCTCCCGGCCGGTGACTGTCTTTCCCACAATCTCACAGCAAGGCAGTCGAGGCGGCGCCCGATGGTGCCGTGCTCCAAAGCCGCCTCACGGTGGGACGCCAGCTTCCCGCCCACCTCCTGTGACGGCTGCCCGCAGCGCGGGGGGCCTCAGCTGCAGGCCCCCGCTGCCCAGCCACAGCCGTCCTGCGTCCTCGCCTCTGAGGAAAGACGTGTCCTCTGCTTCCGCACTATATTCGTCCCTTCTTAACAGTCCCTGTGGCTGGGGCTCTGCGCAGGCTCGGCCTCGCTCCCAGTGCTCGTTTGCGGCGGTCTCGGCGAAGGCTGGGTGCGGGGCCTTGCGGCTCTGGCCTGATGCGCGCCCACTCACCCCTACCGCTGCCCCCGCAGGTGCCCCTCGGACACGTTTGCTCAAATGAGCAAGTGTGCATCCCGCGGGGGGTCAGGTTGTTGGGGGCATGTGCTTGAGCTTTCCTCCGTGGCACTTCTTCTATCCCACAGAGGAAGCCAGACGCTGTGGGTTTCTCCTGGGTCCCCAGGGGGGACGGGGAGCAAGGTCCCGAGGGTGGGGGTGGTTCTGAGACCGCCCGGAGCCGGGGCAGGGGCTCCTCACCCCAGGAGACCCGGAGCAGCTCCTGGAACGCAGGCCTGTGCCGAGCTGTCCGCTCCGAGCGCATGCAGGGCGGGCTGGTGGCAGCCTGAGCTCGTGGCCCTGGTCGCCTCCCCACACCGTCTGCAGTGTGGCCGTCTGTGAAGAGTCTCGGTGTGAAAACACATCAGATGAGCTTGTGATTTTCATACAAGTCAGAAATGAGGTCACAGCTTCTTCGTCTCATACAGTAAAAACTGCTGCAGGTCTCAGCTCACGGCTGGAGGGTCTCAGACCGAGTCAGATCGCAGCAGGGACAAAGGGCTGAAATGAGTCAAAGCGAAGGGAGTGACTGGGACACAGGGTCGGCGCCAGTGGGTGGGCTCGAGAGGTGGGCTGCTTCCCTGTGGCTGTGGACACTCATGATCCAGGAGCCAGACAGCGTCTCTCGGGAAAAGGTTATCATCCCTCTGACGGGGGCCGCACAGAGCTTGAAGCTCTGGAAAGCTGGTGTCCGAGTTGTGGTTCGGGTTAAGATAAACCAAGACAAGCTTAAAGGGGACGCTCGGGGTGCATTGCATTGCTTTTGTATTCTGAGGCTCTTTCCACTTTTCTTTAATTTTTGCTGGAGTGGTTGTCGCTCTCGATACCTTGCAGCTTCTTACCTTCTTGTTTATTTTGGGTGTCAAACTCTGGGGGAGAAGGGGACCTACAGGAAGCTTGAAGGGATTGGCCCAGCACTTCCTCCCGCAGTTCCTGTTGATGTATTATCGACGTGACACATGAAAATCACTGCAGGAATCTGAGCGTGATGCCCGGGCCCCACTTCAGCGTCAGCCCGGCTGGAGTCTGGGCTTCAGCACAGGCTGGTTCTGACGTTCCCTGGGGTAGAGGACAGCCCAGGTGCTCCTTCATTGAGACCCATCTCCTCCCTGAAGGCAGTGGATCAGGAATGACGCAGAGATCCTGGGCCTGTCAGGAAAACCGTGGGGAATGTGACCCCTTGGTGGCCCTGGAGTACCTCTCAAGGCACCCTCACCCTGCCCTGAGATTTGTGTGGACTCGGTCTGCGGGGCAGGGCGCCCAGAGGCTGGAAAGTGCCCTGATTATCGTGGTGTACAGCCTGGATCGAGAGCCCCTGTTCCAGCCTCGGAGGGGCTTTTTTTGTTTGGCAGACATTTGTCCGCATGCTAGAACGGTGCTTCCCTGGGCTTAACACACAGACCGCTGGGCCCACCCCAGTTTCTAGCCAGCGGGTACATCACAGGGCCGGAATTTGCACTTCTGGCAAGTTCCCAGGTAATGCTGATGCTGTGGAAGCTGGTCATGACCCCTCTCTCCTCTTCCATCCCCAGAGCTTTGCCAAAACCATTCCAGATTTGTATCCCCTAAACCTCTGGATCTGCACTTCGCTCCAGCTCCGAAACCCTGACCCCAGCCCGGGCCACCATCGTCCCTTGGCCGGTGGACCCCCCAACCTCTCCGTTGGTCCCTGGCACTGGTTTCTTTCCTCAGTGGAACCAGGGAGACTTTCTGAGAACATACATTTGATTATGTTGCTTCCTGGTTTAAAAAGCACTCCTGGGGCTTCTCATGCATTTAGAATAAAGAACAAAGCACACATTTGCACGACCTTCAAAACCCAGCACGCTCACGCTCGGCCTGCTGGGACCACGTTCCCCTCTGTGTCCAGACCCCCTCCCACCTCCAGCTTTGGTGGCTCCTGTCTTCTGTGTCCGGGGCCCCCAGCCCCCCGGCGTCTGGCAAACCCTTGCTCACCCACAGCCGCAGGGAAGCTTCTCTGACCCTGACGCCCTCCCACTGACAAGATTCTTTCCTTCCCGTAAAGTGTGTAGTTATCTGTGAGATTGATTAATTCCTGTCTCCTAACCTGAAAGCCCAAGAGGGCAGGAACTCTGTTTTGTTCACCTCCACTGATTCCCTGGACCCACAGCAGCCATGTCTCCGTTTTCTGTTGCTGCGTCCCCAGTTACCACACACTTAGCAGCTGAAAACCACCCCTGGGAGCTCCTGGCTCTGTGGCGAGAAGTCCGGGCTGGCTGTAGCACGTCCTCTGCTCAGCGTCACACAAGGCTGACGTCAAGGTAGCTGCCAGGTCGGGCACTTCTCTGGAGGCTCAGGGAGACATCTACTTCCTGGCTCATGCAGGTTGTTGGGGGAGTTCAGTTCTGTGTAGTTATTGGGATCAGGTCCCCATTTCTTTGCTGGCTGTCATCCAGGGTCACCCTCAGCAACTAGAGCCTCATCTCTGGACTCTGCACGTAGACCCTCCATCTCTGAAGCCTGCAGCGCTGCTCCCCCTCTTCTAATGCTTGCATGAGAGTCTCTCTGACCTCCGCTTCTGGTACCCGCTAGAGAAACTCTCTGCCTTCAAAAGGCTACTGTGGTTGGACTAAACAGTCCCAGATAATCTGTTTCTATGTATATAACATAATCACAAGGGATACCGTACCATTTTTACAGTTTTTTTAGGATTATACAAGGGTGAGAATTATTGGGGGCCATTCTTAGAATTCTGCCTAACATAAGAATAAAGTGAGTATTGGGTGGGTAGGTGGATGCATGGATGGATGGGTGGGTGG